CGTGAAAGATTGCCGGAGCAGGGCAGACTGCAGGTCGAGCGTGGCAGCGGCAGATGATTTGTAAACAATAGGTGCCAGCTGGACCACGCTTAACAATCCCAGTCCCCCAAACCGAACCGGCAACTGGGCCTGAGACCAGCCCCTGTCTGTCAACTCAACATTGCATAGGGCTGACAAAGCTGACCTCAGGGCGCCATCGAATCCGCCCAAAATGGATGCATCAACCGAGAAGGATGTACGAAGGAAATACATCAATCTAGGCAAACTAAGGGCGTTGCGGACGATGGTCAGCGCGTCGTGGACCGGAAGATGAGACACTCGGTCGAGGGCGAATTTCAGCTCTGCGAGTTTTTTATTAAAAAAAGTGTTTTGAAACTCACCCTCCATCAATGGGGTGCCTAAGAAGCTCAATGATGCCTCAGACACTAAGGGCACTTCCGCCAGTGTCTGTGGCATTTCAAAAGAGTCGTTTGCGTACAATTCGCATTTTTTAATATTAAGCTCAAGCCCAATGATGGAGGCATTGTCTTTTAAAGACAGGAAATCAGTAGCTAAAATTGCACCATCGGCGGCCAAACTGATATCGTCCAGGTAGCCGCAAACGAATTTTGAAAGAGATTTTTCCAACACCGGGTGTAGGGTCAGAGCAAACAACATCGGCCCCAAAGGGTCACCCTGTTGCACCCCCTCGGACGATTCCATCACCCAGGTGTTATAACCAAGAGAAGAGATTCGGCCATATGCGGAGTGGCAGTAATTGTAAATTTGGGGACAGAGCCGTTTGACTGCCTCCAGCATCGAATCTCTCCTCAGGGTATTAAAGGCATTCCTGAAGTCAATTTTTAAAAAACCCCATTTATCGGGTAAGTCCAGAACCAATTTACGGGCCGCATGTACGGCCGCCTCTGCTCCTCCTTTCACCCCAACGCCCAGTTGAATTGGGTAAAGTTTCGCCTTGGTTTCTTCCAACACCAAGATCAGAGCACATTTGCTGGCCAACCTTCTCCAAAAGTTACCGACCACAATAGGTCTAACTCCCCCATCTTTTTTTGTCAACGCTATCAAACGACCCCCGAAAAAGAAACGGCTGGCGGCGGATGGGCACGCGCCAGATAAAATTATATTTATAAACTGTGTTAGTGAGCTTACAAACTCGTCAATGGGCAGTGGGCCTGAAATTAAATCTTTAATGTGCTGGGGCCTTAGGCAGTCAAGGCCTCCAGACGAACCATTCCTA